GCTAGACCTAAAAGACGCTTACTTGATTATACCAATGGCAGAGGAACACTGGGACTTATTACACTTCACGTGGCAAGGACGTCGGTGGAGGTTTACCTGTCTGCCATTCGGTCTCTCTTCAGCTCCTTGGTGCTTTACAAAGGTAATGAAACCAGTGGTGGCGTTCCTCAGGGCTTGAAGAGTTCGCATGATTATTTACCTGGACGACATCCTGATAATGTCCGCATCCCCCGACCAACTATCCAGGCACCTGGAATGGACAGTGGATCTCCTGCAAGGATTAGGTTTCCTTATAAATTGGGAAAAATCCCTGGTGGCCCTAGTGCAGAAGATAGAATTCCTAGGTTTCGAGGTCGATTCGGTCGCCCAGTTCTTGCTCCTTCCAGAAGCCAAACTGAAGGCTATGAAGAAGGAAATCAGGCGCACGCTTCGGGCCACCTCTCTCTCCATGCGACAACTGGCGAGAGTGATTGGCCTCCTGGCCTCTTCAATTTAGGCAATTTTCCCGGGACCCCTACATTATTGGGCCCTGCAACGTCTGAAAGCGTCGCACCTTCGCTCGGGCAGTTCGTACGAAAGCGATTTACGCCTGGACAGAGATTCCAAGGAGGAACTTCAATGGTGGTTGGACCATATGGAGGCATGGAACGGCTGAGCAATCTTCGGTACCGCTCCGGATGTGGTGATCGAATTGGATGCCTGCCTGCATGGTTGGGGCGCGCGCTGTGGAAATGTCTCCACAGGTGGCAGATGATCCGAACTCGAGTCAACGCTTCACATCAACTGTCTAGAACTACTGGCGGGATCATTCGCCATCCGCAGTCTGTCTCCGACTCTGGGAAATTGCTGTATTCTTCTACGCATGGACAATGTGTCCGCGGTCAGGTACATCAATCACCTGGGTGGCACGAAATCAAAGCAACTGGCGAACCTGGGGTCAACTGGATTTGTTCGCATCCAGACTGAACTCCCAACTGCCCCAATACTTCAGTAGGAGGCCAGACCCGGCAGCCATGGCGGTGGATGCGTTTCTGCAGATATGGCCTTGAGGTCATCACTTTGCATTTCCCCCTTTCAACCTGATCTCTCGGACACTGGCATACTTGTCCAGACAGGTGTGCACGTTAGTGATGATAGTTCCCCTATGGCAGACTCAGCCTTGGTTCCCGCGGCTCTTGGAGATGGCGATGGATTGCCCAAGGTTGATTACGATGCGACCGGATGTGCTTCTAGATCCGGATGGGAACTCACATGAATTGGTGGATCAGGACCTTCTCCAGCTCACGGCTTGGCTGATTTCGGGGGACCCTGGTGTGTCGCGGACGTTCCGCAAGCTACTACAAGGCTCCTGGAAAGTGCCTGGGCACCGGGTACCAGAACAGCTTACAAATCTGCATGGCGTGTGTGGTCTGGCTGGTGTGTGGGAAGACTGTTGGATCCACTTTCTGCCCTTCTGAAGGAGGTGCTCAGCTTTCTGACTACGCTTTTCGAATCTGGTCTAGCCTACTGCACTATTAATTTTTATAGATCAGCCATCTCGGCCGGACATCGGGGCATTGACGGGTTGCCGGTGGGACAACATCTCTTCGTGTGTCGGTTGTTGAAAGGTAATCGTTATTCTAGACCTCCGAGATCCAGGTATTCATCGTTTTGGGATGTTGACGTAGTGCTTGGCTTTCTGGAATCATGGCCCATTAATGAAGAGCTGTCGCTGAAACAGTTGTCATGGAAACTAGTTATGCTCCTGTGTCTCCTTTCATGCAAAAGGGTTTCGGATGTCAGAGCTTTGGACTGGAACGCATATGTGTTATTACGATAGTTGGTGTATATGGTTATACAGGCCAAATTGTTATGATATATTACATTCAGATCCTAAGTTTGGATTTTACCTCCTGTTTCTCTGTTTTACAGCTTGATTTCGTTGTGATGATGTCTACCTTGTTGGTGATTGTTCTTTCCTGATGGGGATATATTTTCGGTTCGGTCTTCGGTTCAGAAGGCAAAGAAGAGGAAGTGGAAGTACTAAGCAAGGCATTTAAGGACTGTTTCCTACAAGCTGATTGGCTGCCCTGTTACTAGGCAGATCTGGTTATATCTTTTATTATATTATCCATATTTTTGCATTTTTTCTCTTTCAGTTATATTTTCTCTTTCCTGCTGAGGAATAAAGTAAGAAAGAGATAGCATAATACTCGCCTCCATGTCATTAATAAAATCATGATTTTACGTCATGTTATTAGTAAAATCTGGGAATTCTTAGCTTTACATGCAGTTGGCAATACACAAACCATCAATATATGTGACTTTAATAGCATATACACTAATTAAAATAAATGTCTTCCATGCAATAAGTGGTGTTATGGACAACATCACTTCTAGGCTACAGCAGGTAGTTCAGATTGCACTGTTAATCAAATCAGTCACCAGACGCTCATTTATAAAGCCATGTTTTTGTTGTTTTGGGTCATTAGAATTATTGATTCATATAGAATGACAGCTGAGCGAATGTTAAATGTAAATACCAATAATGTTAATCTTATTATATGCAAAAGATTTTTTATTTTCAGCATGTCAAAATTTACAGAATGATTTATATCAAAATATTAGCCGTCTGATATTCCATATGCCAATATAGGACTTACTTTTTTATTTAGTTCATCATTCTTCCAATAAAAAAAAAAAAAAACAGACTAATATTTGGCTGTCATACTCTTCACTGTTTTACTAAATGCATGATCTGTTTGCACTGCTTCTGGCAACAGCTTGTGAGTTAAATTACAGTCATTTTGAAAGAAAATATATTAAAAATGTCGTATTTGGTCTCTTTACAGTTTTGTTATTGAAACTGAAAAATAATGAAATGGAAACAAACAACTTAATGTTAATCAGACTTTGAGATTCTTTAATCCGAATATGGGGCGAATGTGTAATTGTACAAATTACCGAACTACAAGCCGAAAGTGTGGCCGAATCTCAAACCAAATGAATCACGCATGTCGAAGGGTGCTCACTTTGATTCATCACTCTAAATTCCTAGGCACCAAGAAAACAGATAATTGACAAGTGAGAAGTGAGCAACAGAGAAGGGAAAAGGAGGATCAATAAAGAAAATCTATATTTATATATTTATTTTAGAAAGGCTGAACTTGATGGAAGCTATTTTTTTGCTTTTGCACTAATATGCTCATAATCTCTTATAATTGATTAGAATTGATCATTATCTGCCAAAAAAAAGTAAATTCAAGTACATTTACACAATATGGCTAAAGCAATAGGGAGGTTAACTACACTCCCCAAAAAATAACAATTTAGGTTATAAAAAGTATAGTATCTGATAACTGAATAAATATGATTTATTAAAACAATAAATATGACCAGTGCATGTAAGGTATTTAAATTAGGTGCATTGCACCTACAGTTGTAATCAAAATTATTCATCTCCCATTGAAAATCAGGTTTATTGTCAAAATGTAGATTTCCAGCTGTTTGCAATGAATACAAACCAAACAAAAGAAATTAAATAGCTCAACACAACAAATTCAACTGAAAATGCAACTTACAACAACTTCTCAGGTCTCAAAATGATTCAACCCCTTCATCACAAGCATCTTTAGTACTTAGTAGAGCACCCTTTTGCTGTTATGACCTGCTGCAAATGCACTCAACAAACCCCTAACCAGTTCAGGTATTTCAAGTGTTCCAGCTCAAACACACCTGGTGCAACTAATGAAGCCCTTGATTTGTTGCATCAGGTGTGCTTGAGACACCTGTTCTGCATATTTGTGCTGTTTTGAGGGATTCTATTCAGGGGTTGAATAATTTTGAGACTGGAGAAGTCTTAATAAATTGTGATTTAAGTTCAATTTGGGGAAGCCACTTGAAGGATTTGTTGTTGTCAAGAATATTCCTATGTCACAAACTCCTGGAGGAGTGTGATGGCTAGCATCCTGCCCAAGCACTATGGGCCTTGCCACAGAGATCCTTCTCCCATCTGAAATAGACTAGATTTCCTTACTTAACTATGTTTGGCTCTCCAACCCTCCATCTCCTCTGGAAGGAGCTATTTTCGCTAGACTACCCCATCCCAGCTGTGCGTCCTCTTCAGCATCATTCCTAGTGGCCCCAGGACTTTCACAGACCTGCAGGAAGGCTCCATAGGCACAGCCCGGCTGACCAGGAGCAACCTCCAAAAGCCCTGGAACTCAGAACACTTTCAGTCCCAGTACCACTTAGCAAGGTGCTTTTTGAGGGGAGATAGAGGAGCTGATGAGGGGAGATAAGCTGGATGTGGGGGAGCTGGAAGGATGGAAGGAAAGTGCAGTTGTTTTGGGTGACTGGGACTTTCACCCCAGTCCATGGAACTCTGTGCCAGATCAGAGTATGGCCGCGGCATGCTAAAACTTTGACTTCCATCCAAACCAGGCCAGCCACCTCTGATCTGGGCGCTATTTGGACAGATTGGGTGCCCGGGGATGTATGACATGTGGGTGTGCTCGCTTATATTGTGTATGTTTGGGGATATTTTTATTTTGTTTTGCAGTCTCTGTGTCTGGGAGATTATTAGTTTAACCGATAGCTGACTCAATTATCTCCCAGACACAGAGGTGCCTGGGCAAGCTTAAGTTGCAACCTGGGGGTCTGGGTATAAATCTGTGTGCTTTTGCTCAATAAACTCACTTCTTATTCACCCTAGTATCGACTAGTTTTTGGGTGAGACAGCTATACAATCTGCAGGAGAGCTTAATCACTTGGAGTTATAGCACAAGACCCCGCTCTAGGGTGAGAAACTCTGGATAGGCCCCAGTCCAGCTGTGATTGGGGGTCTGAAGCACTAAGGGTATCCCGGTTCTAGCTAGGAAACAAGCTTGGCAGAGTACCAGGGTACTGGGGTACCAAACGGTCCGCCACATCTGATTGCATATTCCTAGCAACTGGGGAAGCATCCCTGGGACACCGGTGAATCTTCTAAGACCTCTCTATACCTTCAGCAATTTGTCAGGATGGAGCGAGCTAGCCCCTGGACAACATCCACATACAAAGAGGAGTTCCAGTGGAGGCTGCAAGAAGCTCTGGCCCAGGATCACAGCCCTGCCTCGAAGCAGAGTGATCTGGACAGGAGGGATGCAATCAGGAAGGAACTCTGGTATGAGGCCTTTGAGGAAGTCCGGGTTTGATGGTTAGGAAGCCTCCAGGTACAGAGCAGCACTGGAAGGAACAAGTGCCTCAGCGGATACTGCTCCTGGAGAACAGCGCTTTTGGTCCCAGTACCACTTAGCAAGGCACTTTTTGGAGGGGAGATAGAGGAGATGATCCAAAGATACCCTGGACTTGGGGGAGCAAGGAGGGTGCAAGGAAAGCCCCATAGTTTTAGATGACCGGGACTTTCACTCAGCGTCTTGGAACTCTGCACCGGATCGGAAAGTGGCTGCAGCCCACTAAACTTTGACTTCCATCCTAATCGGGCCAACCACCTTCGATCTGGGTGCTATTTGGACAGATTGGATGCTCGGGGACAAGCTGTCCGGGGATGAATAACATGTGGGGGTGCTCGATTATATTGTATATGTTTTGGGATATTTTATGTTTTGCACTTTCTGTGTCAGGGAGATAATTAGATTAACCAATAGCTGACTCAGTTATCTCCCAGACACAGAGGCACCTGGGTGGGCTCATGTTAGAAACATAGAAACATAGAATGTGACGGCAGATAAGAACCATTCGGCCCATCTAGTCTGCCCAATTTTCTAAATACTTTCATTAGTCCCTGGCCTTATCTTATAGTTAGGATAGCCTCATGCCTATCCCACGCATGCTTAAACTCCTTTACTGTGTTAACCTCTACCACTTCAGCTGGAAGGCTATTCCATGCATTTGATGTAGATTAATTTAGAAATAAACAAAAATGTTTAAAAGTCTATCTGTTCCTGTCCAAATCTGAGATGAATAAATTGCGTATACGCAGAAGTAAGTTCACACTGACACATGCAGTTCAGGTTAAAAACACTTCAGGAAATTTATTAGCATCTAGTTAAAAAGTGGGCACGCAGGCCTTTTTATATGCAAAATGACATCATCATTGAATATCAGATAATAACAAATAAACATCATTAATTGGGTTAAATGTTAAGTGGCTATGTCAGTGTCCACCCATTAATATTATTAATTGGCTCAGAGATTTGAGTGACTAGTGAGGCACCCTCCCATCATGGGATGTCGTCGCCATTGCTCTTTAGCACGAGGCTTACTCGGTGGAAAGGGGGGCTTGGGCGTCATTTTACGTAGTTAGTGATGTCAGTCTCGTGGTCTGTTCCAAGGTTCTTTTATGAATAGAACATTTCATTTTGTCGCTGTTCTCCTGGCCTTGGATTATACTATGTTGCAAGTCAACGGAGATCCGCTAACTCCGGGGCTAGTTATGTCCTTAGAGAGAGAAAATACAATCTCTTATTCATTATACTGAATACTGTCAGGAAATTCTGTCATGTAAGGTGAACAAAATGGAGTTAGTACAATAATTCAATACAGGTTCTAATAAAGATTTTAATAATTCTACATCAGTCCCCCCTATGAAATGTTAGATTCTAAAAGATAATCTTTATTTGTTAGTATCAGAAGACGTGTTAGCCCAAAGGCACAGAAACCCCGTGACCCGCTAGCTAGGTGTTATTGCAAAGTGCAAAGCTGTCCCTTCGTCTGTCCCTAATTGGCTAACTCATCTGTCCGCTGGGCACTCGAACACTTCACTCCATGGGTATCCCGAGGTGGCTAACCCACCACATCTCCGCACGGTAGACTTCCCAGACAGACAGATGCTGTCCCTAAGCTGGTCCCTTCCTAGAACTCTTGCACTCTATCAATAAACGGGATAGATTGTAGCGGTATACAGGGCGAGTTGACTTTTTGGAAATCTTGGTCATCAACTGTGAGGTGTGCGTAAGTGGGTGCCGCTTGGTCTACAGTCTTCAAGAGGAGCTTTCTCAGACAAGGGAGGACACAACAAACGAGAAGAGCAAAGATAAAAAGGAAAATTAGTATTGCTATACCAATATGCATCAAAGCTTTTTGCCATCCTGTCATCCAACCAAACCATCTCTCCCAGGGATCTTTTATCCCAGAGTTCCTCTTTAGCTCCTCAGAGAGCTCTTTCAATTTTTCTATAGCTAAGGTTACTTTACCATTGGGGCCTGTGTTTTCTGGGATGTAAGTACAACATGTCATGGTGTCAGGCAGAATTTTACATACCCCTCCTTTTTCTGCTAGAATCATATCTAAAGCCATTCTATTTTGGAATGACATTTGGGACGTAGCCTGCAGCTGTTCGGCCAAACCCTGAAGGGCATCCCTGGTGTAATTAACAAACCGTTGTTGGTTGTAGTAGATGTAATTTATCCAGTTTAAATTCTTGTTTGCAGTGACTATGGTAAAAAGTGATTCAAATCCTGCAGCAACTTCATCCCTGGCTTTAAACTCATTGGGCACCCCCCTAGGTACCCCAATGGCATCAATGTAAATATGAGGGTCAAAACTGCCTTTTACTGGGGCTTCACGCTTTACCTTGGTTGGTGAGTGTTTGGACTCATGAGTATCGGGGTGTGTGTCAGAGATAATATGTATGGGCATGATTGCTTTAGCCAGAGTACACTCCCCCCACCATTCTTTATCCATTCTTGATCTCAGCTGTAGATCCCCACACAACCAGTAAATATCCCCCAATGATCTAGTGTGGAATTGTAGGAGGTTCATAGAGACAGTTCTGTAGGTGGCACAATAACCTTTAGAGAAGTTACCCACAAATTTACCAATTCCATCATAATTAGCATAACAGGTATAATTACCTTTATAGACGGTAACACCATCTGGGGGTTTGCAATCTTTGACTAGAAGAGGATACTCTACTGTCCATGCTTTACATATGGACCTATTGAAATTGTAGTGATAGGCAAAAAGACTCAGAACACATTCTTCTATATCTACTGGCAAAGTTAAAGGCACAGTGCCCAGGTGCGGCCGGGCACCACCACACACATAGCATGCGGTTCTGTTATGTTTGTTGGCATTATATTTCATCCATTCTAACCATAGATTAACATCATTGAAACCTGTTTCAGCGGCCATGGTATCTTCAAATGTTGGATTTGCAATGGCCATCATGTCTTTAAAAGATTGGATGTGTGGTTTCAACGGATTTGAGACCATGTGGGTGGTCCCTTTCCACTCAGGAGAGTGGCACATATCTTTAAGGTGGAAATGTCCTAATTTATTATAGGAACCCTTCTTCCAGTACATTCCCATTACATACTGGTCTGCATCCGTTGGGCTGGGATGCTCAATGTTTAAGATTAATTTCATAGGTATGCCTCCTCCGGGCTTTCTTAGAGTCATTCTCTGGAGGAGGGACCTACCGTGATCATCAATTTTAGATAAGACACTTTTTGGTTTGTAACCCCAGGCAGGCCCGGCATTCCATCCCGCCGCCCCCCAATGGTTACAGTTGTGCCCCCATTGTTTGTCAACTACACAAACATAGGGGTCTTTTGAATGAGGGATATCTCTATAGATATTCTGAATCTGTGACGTGGGGAATGGGCATTCTACGATGTCACAGTAGTCAAAAGTATAAGTAGCCACACGGGTACATGATGAATTATACCAGAAGGTGTACCCACTAGCATCTTTGGTGATGGCCACCTGCTGGGCTTTAAGGAGGCCAACTAAGGAGATAATGTACCAGAGGCACATGGTTGCATAGAGTTAGCTTCCTCTGGGGCAGGTGTCTTCTTGCAATGGGAAGCGTGGATCCAGTTAGGCCTTCCGGCCAATTTGACAGAGGTAGGGGAGATCAGGAGAACTTGGAACGGACATTTACTGTTTTCGCACAAATTTCTTGACCAGAACCCAGTCATCGGGGAGCAGACTGTGGTTGCCTGTGTCAGAATCAGGATCTGGAATTGAAGAGAAAACTTGGGCATGGATTTTGTTTAAGGCGTTTGCGAGTTCAGTTACATAATCTACTAAGACATCAGTTTGAAGTTGTTGGGGAAAATAGCAACCTAGCCTAGGTGCAGTCCCAAATAGAATCTCATATAGGGACAATGAGGTAGTATTTTTGTACAAGAGCATTCATTAGATCCTTTGATAAATGTGCAGGTCCGTGTGCCCATTGTACGACTGCTGGGTACAAATTCTTAGGGAGGCAGAACTTGAGGTTGTTGGAGTACACTCCATCCTTCAGAACTGCCCCTTTCTGTTTCCACTTCTGTATTTCTTCAGGGGCAACTGTAGCCTGTTGTTCCCGCAGGATTTTTAGGTCAGTTGGAAGAGTCTGCAGAGTAAATATGGGAGTTTCTTCATTTCCGGACACTCTTCTTTCCACTTCCTGTGGTTCTTTTGCAGCTTGTTTTGCAGCCTGATCAGCTAGATGGTTGCCCCTTGCTTCATCTGAGTCCAACTTCCCATGTGCTTTTATCTTCAAAATAGCCACTTCTTCTGGGAGTAGGAGGGCGTCCATCAGCTCCTTGATTGCGGAACCGTGCTTGATTGGTGTACCGGCGGTGGTAAGAAATCCTCTTGTTTTCCAAATTAATCCGAAGTCGTGAGCCACGCCCAGTGCATATCTTGAATCCGTGTAGATATTGGCGCGCTTTCCTTCAGAGATCTTGCATGCTGAAGTCAGGGCTTGCAATTCAGCTTCTTGTGCAGACATAGTTGATGGTAAAGATGATGATTTGACAATTTCATCTGTTGTGGTTACGGCATATCCTGTATGGTATCTTCCTTCTTCATCAGCATATCTTGAGCCGTCCACAAACAGGGTGAGATCGGGATCTACCAATGGGTCTTCATGCACAGTTGGTAGATGTGTTGTTTCCATTTTCATCTGTTCAAAACAGTCATGAGGTGTATCTGGGTCGTAGTCATTCACTATGGTTAAATCTTGGAACTCATTCTCCAGGAAATGACGCGGCCATGCTTTTAGGTGGTCAGTTGTTGGATATTTGACAACACCATTTTCCTGTAGCTGTGATTCGTCCATAGTGGCCCATGCTTTTGCCATAGGCCCAAGATCATTCCATGATATTGTTTTCAACTTGGTCACAGGGACATGTGGAATGGCAGTGTCCCAATGACGGTACAAATGCTTGAGTTCCGGAGGTAGATGAATCAAGACCATACT